ATGGATCACGGATTGTCAAATAATACCAGAATTTAATAAAGTTGTTGTTAGCACTGGGTACGAAGAATATATATATATATATATATTATCTTCATTGTGAAATTTAATTTTTTATTTTTAATTTATATAAAAGAGATCGTGAACTTCAATTTTGGGATCAAACTTATTGTTTAAGTACATCACGTGAAGTTCAAACAAATGATCTTCCATGTACACAAATATGTTCATTAGATAGTGTACCGATTAAACTTAATTATGGGTAGATCAATGGATATATTAAAAATTAGATAAAATTTTTCTTGTTTTTATTTAATTAGAATAACTTCACCTGATGAATTACTTATTATTTATGGTGATACAGATGGTTGTGTTAATATTCTTATATTTCTTGCTGCTCGAGAAATTTTTCGTTTATTAACAACTCTTGAACGTCGAAAAGGTATTCCAACAGTTATTTTCGATCGTTTTCTTGATGCATATAAATGTGATTATGTTCGTTGGCAAGTTCATCGAGAATGGATTGGTAAAAAAAAAAAAGAAAATAATCAAAAATAGTTGAATCAATTTATTTTTACTTGCTTGTAGAATATATTTATTATGATTCAAGACTAAATCAAATAATATCATGTTCAAATGATCAACATACAGCTGTTGTTATTGGTTGTATACGAGCAAGTGCTAGTTCAGAAATTCAATTAACCGAAAGTGGTTTTGCTGAGTTAAAAAATGTTCAAGCTAAATCGAATGATCTGAAAGGAGGAGGATCGCGTAGAAGACGAGGCACAATGTCATCAGGTTATTATTTTTGTTTTTGATTTTTTAATTATTACTATTTTTTTGTTTTTGGTTTTTCCTCAAAAAAAAATTACAATAGATTTAAATGATGAGGGTACTCTTCCATCACTAGTAAATACTCGACATAAACGTGATTCAACGATATCCTATTTAACACATTCTTCTCAAGATACGCATTCAAGAAAAGCTGGTGCTCAAGAAGCTCGAGGTGATGCTGTAACATCAACAACATCACGTTCAATAATTCGTCGTCAACCAATAATTCGTAATGCACAAATACGTTGTGATGCTGATCAAACTGTATTTAAAATTCATAAAGGTGTTAAAACATTTGATTTATGTACAGCAAAAAATGTTCTTGTTACTGGTGGAATGGATCGTGTTATACGTTTGTGGAATCCATATTTACCATCTCGACCTGTTGCTAGACTTCGTGGTCATAATGCACCTGTATTTCTTGTTAAAATAGCCGTTGAAGATGATCGATTATTTTCTATATCAGCTGATAAAACTGTTTTAGTAAGTTATGTTTTAACAAAACAGAATTTTATTTTATCAACAGTTAGATTTTTATCATTAATATATAAAGTAAAACAATTCACGATTATTCAGACCAAAAAAAAAGAACAAAAGAATAAAATCAACATTCTGAAAAAAATAAAACAATAAACATTTTAGATAAGCCTTTTTTTTCTAGTTGATTTAGATTTTTTTCTTGACTTTTTTTTCTTTATCGGTGAACCGTAAACAAGTTTTGTTTTAAGTGGTGGAAGTGTCACTGGTTCGTTAGGTAAAATATTAAAAAATGATGGAATTGATGTTATAGAATAATTAAAATGATTTGATATCCAATCAAATGCAAATTGATCTGTACGAAGTTTTCCTTGACGTGTATATAAACGTACTGCATACATCCATGAGATATCATTCCATAGAGAATGAAATTTCATATTAATCCATGTATAATTTTTTTCTAATGGACTTTTCCATTTATCTTTACCATATTCACCATCAAGATAACTAGTTGGTGAACAAGGTATTGAAAAACGAGTACCAAATAAATCACATGAACAAAGTGTTTCGAGTAATGGAAGAGTACGTCTGAAATATAAAATATATTTTTGTTATTAAATATTTTATTGAGTTTTTCTCTTTTTATTTTTTTACTTAATGAAAATAATAATGCAAACGACATTCAGGAAAAATAGAATTGATTTCCTTCCGAACTTACTCATTAGGTACTTCCGTGTATAATAAGGAAATCCTCTTCATCATTATATCCTTAATTATAATTTATATTTTATAATGAACGTACTAAACGAGTTGATGTTTCCAAAAAAAGTTTTAATTTATTTGAATTAATATTCTATTCTTGTATGTAAGAAAAAATTCAAAAAGTACATGAATAGTGTTTTTCTATATACACTTAATAAGAAGTAAAAAGGTATTGATATTAGAAACCTTGCTCTAGTTATTCTCTGTAATCATAGATCCTTCTAGATCTTATCGTCATTAAATATGAGCTTTTTTTATATAGTAACTATTTCTTTCTTACTCTTCATTCGATTAAATTTTCTATTATAAAAATAAATATACCTAAACTTTGCCCTGTGAACTTGATAACCACACCATCGATGATCACCTTCACGATATGCCCAAAATAGATCAAGCGTAAATCGACCCGTGTAAAGACGAAATTCAAGAGAATCATTAACCTATTTTATTACTTTGAAATTAGTTCAACAAAAAAAACAAACCGTAAAAATATTTATAAATTACTTACAAGTCCTAATGCACCCCATAGATAAGCAATAGGATTTCCAAGAAAATAATTTCGAATACTTTCATCATATTCTTCAGCAAAAAGACCAAAATCTGCATCTTGAGTAAATGGTATTAAACCACAATGACGATACCAACCTATAATGAAAAATATGTTCATATATTAAAAAACAAATATATATTTTACCGAGTAAAGTTCCACCAGCAAGCCAATAATGTTTTTCCAGTTCATTTAATCCATAAGCAATATTTTTCATAGGTGTAACGGTTAAATTTAATTGACTAGCATTTTGATATAAATGAAATTGATCTTCCATTTCATCTGCTAATACTCTATTACAATGAAGAAATTTTGATGTTTGATATAACCATAAAAAATGTGAAACATTTTGAGGATAAAAAAAAGAATATTCATGTACATTAACTTCAACACTATTATATATAAAAATAAACAAAAAAAAACCCTTAAATAATTTATTTCTCTTTTTCAAATCATAAAATTCTTACGGTTCAACAGCACGAAGTGTATCACCATAGGATAGTTGAATATTTTCAGATAATGGAAGAATATTTTCTTCTATAAGATAAAATGATTTATATTTATGTAAAATAGCTAAATGAATTATTTTTTGTTTATATTCAATAAATATATGATCAATTGATGTTTTATGATTTGATAAAATATTTTCTGATATTGTTATTGAAAAAATTGTTTCTTGAAAATATTGAATAAATCTTTCAACTAAATCATCAGTAATGGCAAAAGTAATTAATTGTCTTTCTAATTTATCAAATGATAATTGTTCAATAAAAAGATAATTAAGTACATATGGATCAATTAAAAGTAGATTAACTTTTAATTGTAATAAATGATCAAATATAAAATAGAAAGTTGAATTTGATCGATGTTTTAATCCATTTGATTGCTATAGAAAAAACAAAAAAGAAGAATTATTTGTTTTCTTTTTTTCAATTTTTCAACTCACTTGAGTTTTATTAAGTTCTGTTGATTGTTTAAACGTTCCAATAGTTAACCAAAATAGAACATAAGTAAACAAACAAAATAAAATAACTGATTTGTTTTGGTATAAAAGTCGGATTAGACCCATCGACTTTCAGTTTACATGATTGATTCTCATTTGATAATTCAAATCGGAATGATGACAGTAGTAACGAGAATAATTTTATTTTACTAATTCAATTAGATGGAATAATAATCGAAAGAAAAAAAAAAGAATAGTTTTTGTGATTGCAGTTGACAAAAGACACGATTGAATTGAATAGAATGAATCATATGAGTAAATTTTTTGAGAAGAATATAACTTAAATAAGAAAAAGAATAATATAACAACTATAGTCTATGTTAGCTGTTATCTTTTTGTTATCATTATTGAAAAAAAAATGGTTCTGTGACTATGTAATCGATGTAAAAGATAACCTATTTACACTCGTGTTTTAGTCAATACAACACATCGAGCACACAATGCATTTCGTTTTCTCACAGTGAATGAAGACAAATGACTAGTAGTTTTTTTTTTTTGTTCTTGTTAAGCTAGAATAGATTGGCTAAGGACGTTATATAAGCTAGGGAAACTAAGAGAACCAGGAAGAACGCGAAAAACGGAAGTGAATCACAATGATCTGAAAAATGCGTCTTGTCATCAATCTGCATAGGGCTGGAATCAGTGATGTTCATTTACATCAAGTCTTTCTTTTTTTTTGCTATCTAACTAATCAACTGTATATATATGTATATATATATATATATTAGTAATCAAGTCTTGATCATGTACGACATTACATATATATGTTTCATTCTATAGAAGAAGAAATATGATTGCAATAATCATTATTATAGCTATTATACTCTATATTCGTCCTATTCAAGGTCAATCTATCAATAGAAATAAGCTGAGTGCACTACAAGAATAAAATTCTCTTAAAACTCGACTCTCATATACAAATAATGCTTTTAAGTTATTTGTTATAGAAAAGACGAACAAATATATATATTTTTTTTTTGACATTTGATAAAACGAGTATTTTTCTTTTTAATGCTCTCTTCATTTTTTTTTTAAGGTATAAGAATCAGAACAGAACAACTTGCTCGTATTTTATTGTTTCTTAAGAAGAAGAAAAAAAATAATAATATAACTTCGTTCTCTACCTTATCTTCATTGATTTACTTTTGATTTTAACGATAGACACAGTAAATAAAAACAATACTTGTCTAATTGGATATATTCTCAATGAATAATTGATATTAAATAAAGGTTATATCTAGTTAATATAAACAAAAGCTTTCTCACGTTCTTTTGTCTCCTTCATCAATTTGATTTACCTGTATCAATAAATATACCATACGAAAGAAAAAAAAAATAGATAAGAGCAACCTGTCGTATATATGAGACAAGCAAAAAACGATGGTGAGCGAAGTATTGCACTAATGAAATATATATGTATGTGAATGAGAAAAAGAAACGGATCAAATGCGAACAAAAGAGATAAATAATGAACTTTATCAAACAAAAAAAAAAAAAACCTAAGATAATCAATTTCACTTATTTCAAAGGTATGGGATCTTATTGAACATACACTATTGGCATGTGTTCGTTCTAAAGTTCATAAAATACGTGGAGATTTACAAGCTGTTTGTTATAATCCCCACACACGTTGCTTATTATTTGCAAGTGAACAAATTTCATTTTTAAATCTTAAATTACGGTAAGTAAATAATTCTTTTCCAAACAAATCATACAAAACAAAAAAAAAAAATCAATTAAATATATATTTCATAGACCTTATTTACATGCTGATGTTGTTGTTTCACATTATGAACCTGTACTTGGTTTACTTTTTATAAAAGAATTTAAACAAATTATTTCATGTACAGAAAGTGGAGTTATACGTTTATGGGACTTTCTAACTGGAAGACAAGTACATGAATTTCGAGCACATAATGGTCAAGCTGTAACATCCATGGCTTTAGATACAACAGAACGAAGATTAATAACAGGCAGTCGAGATGGAACATGTTGTATATGGAATGTTCATAATGGACAATTATTAAAAATATTTAAAAAACCACGTGGTCAGAATTTTAAAATTAAATTTGATTTTTAACTAATAAAAATCATTTGTTTTTTTTAAAGATTCACTTGAAATAACTGATGTGACTTTTGTTGTTGTTAATAATAATTGTTCAATATTAGCTGTTGGATGGGATAAACATGTCAATGTTTTTAAAGATGATCGTGAACATATAAAACAAGTTTGTTTTCCAGAAGATCAATTTGTTGGTGATAGTCAATATGAAGGTCATAAAGAAGATATATTATGTATTGATAAATCTCAAGGTGATTTAATTGCAACTGGTGATTATGGTGGAACAATTATTATATGGAATATGGCAAGTAAAAAAATATTTGCTTGTCTAAAAGATACTACTGAAAAAAGTAAAAATTCTGAAGGTAAAAAGAAATATTTTAATTATTTATATTAAATATTTTTGTTTCATTATAGAAAATGGAAATGATCGAGTTATTAGTCGTGTAACATTTATTGATTCAAGATTTGGTCGACATGATATAGCTAATTTAATTGCTAGTGGACCTTATGGTCATATTCATTTTTGGAATATTTATAAAAATGGTGTATTAATGGCTAAATTTCGACCGGTAAATATTAACGAAAAAAAAAGAAATCAAAGTTTAAATAAATAAATATTATTTTTAGAATAAAGAAAGAATGACAACAGTAACACAAATAAAACTCGATCCTGCATGTTGTCTTTTATTTGCTGCTGATTCATTAGGTAAAACATCAGTTTTTTTTCTCTATTCAATTGTAATATTTTTTTTCTAGGGTTTTTATTTATCTATGAAGTCGAACATTATGCACTTAAATATGAATCCGATCCACCTCGTTGTAAGTTTGAAAAGTTTGTTTTAAAATATATATCTGATTTATTTTTAGGTGTTCGAACTTGGCGTGCTCATATTGATAGTGTAACAGGTCTTGAATATATTGATCAAAGTACGTAAGTATTTTTTTTGGTTTTCGTAAAAAGTCAAAAAAAAATGAATTTTTTCAATTTAATTCTAGCTCAAGTACTTATTTCTTCGGCACTCGATTGGACCATACGTCTTTGGAATCTTCAAGGAAATTTTATAGGTAATGTATATTCTAATCTTTATTTCATAGTATTTTAAACAATATGATCTTAAAAAAAAGGAACATTTGGACAAACTATTCCATGGAATTTATATGATCCAGCAACATATCAACATCCATTGGTTCCATTAGATGTACTAACTGATCCAAAAAGTTTACCACAAAATCAACAGATCGTAGAAGAAAAAGACAAAGCATCAGCACCTGTAATATACTTGACATATCTCGAAGTTTTAATATATATTCAAATAATGTAGGTACCAACAATAGTTATACATAAACAAGCTGTTATAGATGATGAAACAATTGCTAATAATGTTCGTGACACACTTGATAAATTACGTCATAGTCACTCAGCAGGATTTCCTGGAAAAAGGTTTCTTATGATTGTTTTTTATTTAATATTTTTTCATGGAGATATTATTTTAGACTTCGATATTTTCGTGAAAAACCTCCTGTTTCAATACGTCGTGATGGTTCAAGTCACTATCAACATTTGCGTTTTTATCCAGTTGATGATAATCCTCCACTATCAACAACAAGCAATACTGTCCATTTTGCTAATACAGTTAAATTATAATTCGATAAAGACGATTTTCATTTTTTAACTTTTAAAACATTTTTCTTTGGTCGTCACGTGTGAGGATGGATGAGACAAATAAACAGATGGTGATTTTGTAAAAATAAAAAAAAAAGAAACAAACAAAAATGCAAGCGCTCTAAGAAATCAAGAAAAAAGCTGACAAATATTCGAAATATTGAAGAAATTGACAAACGAGCAAAACAATAAAATATCAATTATTCTATCGTATGTTCGAGTGTGTCATTGAAGATGATTTAGGTTTTGCATTGTTAAGTTATTTTTTAATTGATGCAATATCACTCAAGCAGTAATGACTCTTCTAAGTGAAGTATATATATACATACATGTTGGTCGATGTTATACGTAAATATATAGCAGGAGAAATTCTTAGATTTAAGAAGTTCGAAAGAAATGTAAAATGTAGAAATAGAACAGAAAAATATCAAAAATAAAAAAGATCTAAAAGGCGTTTATACATTAGAGTGGACGATTAGTATCGAATATTACATATAGAAGTATGCGCAATCGATATCCAATAATGAGAGAGAAGAAAGACAATATGAATAACTTAGAGTATAAGAGAACTTACTTTTATAGCTTAGTCGATTAGCAATCGAATGGCTCATACGTCGTTAATAGTTACAAAGTGAACAATTTGCTTGTATAATATGTTGTATACATTAATAAAGATTCAACATTAGCTGCAATCTTTCATTATTCTGAAAAATTTGAATCGTTGTCGTAGGTAATTATGTCTTGGTATGTTAGTCAAACTGAAAAATCTAAGATCAATATATTGTCGATTCTCTCGTAACAAACGTTGAGAACGAAAAAAAAATTCATCCTCTTGAATATTTAAAACGCTTTTTACTTTAACACTATAATGTGATTGCACTTGATAAATATTGATGCTTCTAATATTTATTCATTTTATACATTGAAGGCGAACTGAGTAAGAAGAACAATCATTGTAATGTTGTAAAGAACAAATACATTCTCTAAAAAATATGAACGAGCATTAAATACTTGTCTACATAAACCTTACTTACAATCATTTCGAAGAACGTAATTATTTTAGAATTTATGCTTCTTCTAACAAATATTCATTGAATTTTTTGTTTTATCTAAATCCTTAATACATAAGTGTGATATAAAATAGTTTATCTACTTTTTCCTTTTTTTCCTCTATCTGCTATTCATATTCCTACTATTTTTTTGTTTTTTTATTTCTCGAATCATTTACTCATGAGATTATTCAACAATTTATTTGTAACAAGTGCACTGAGCACATCCACGTCATCCTTCAGCAGTTATGCAAGATGATGGGTATTTACTTTTTGTCTATGTTCTGTTGTATGTTGTTCGTTCTCTTCATATATATAATTCGACGAAATAACCAGTCTTTCACTTCGTTACGTTTTCTTTCTTCTTTTTCAATTTAAGTTGTCGCCAAGCATATTTTTACTAATACAAGTGGAAAAATTTCCAACGCATGTCTATCAGTGCACTACCTTTGTTTCTAAATTATTCCTTTCATTTAAACATATCCGAATTTGTCGTGCACACATAAGAACATGACTTTTTTTTTGGTTGTTCATAAAGGAAAACATAAAATTTGCTATCAAACCTAAAACAAACTGTTTTACGACAAGATTAAATAACTTCGCTGTTATTTATGATATGTCTGTTTTATAACTAGACATTTATAATAACAAGCATTTAAGTGTATTCAAAATAAATAACTTGAAGTTTAATACTTAAAAAAATTATATCAATATACTCTACATTACATCATTTTATTTATTGATCTTTCGTATTTTATTTTCAATCTAAACGCGTTAGTATGTAATAAGAAAAATTAGTAACAAAGATGATGATAACGATAACTTATATTTATTGAAACACAAGAAATATAGTAACTTTAAGTCTTCCAATAAAAGCGATCAACTATCAAAAGCAAAAGAATTCAATTGTAAAGAATAAAAATTTGTTAGTACAACAATTTTGTAGTTGACATTCTATTATTATCGAAAGAAATCTGTACACATATGTAATTTGAACATCCAAGTATTATTCAAATACCAAATCTTCCATCAGGAACAAAATCTATTCTATGGGAAACTAATTTGAAAAATGAGGTAATATTATTATTATTTCATTAATGAAATATTTGACTATTTGAATAGAAAGTTAATTCATTGTGGTTTTTTTTTTTTTTTTAGTGGATATTTGTTAGTTTCGATTCTGATTCCATAACAACATATTCTGTCTATCGTGATTCTTTAAAAGGTCCTCAAATAATGTTTGTTGGTACAACACGTTTACCAATATTTGGTTCAGTACCATTACTTCTTAATACTTGTCTTCTTCTTTTACTTGATTCAAGTGGAAAAATAGTTCAAACTAAATTAGAAACATATGGATTTTTAAATGATTCAGGTGAACAAGAATATACACTTGATGATGCTACAGATCGATTATCGAAAGCTATTCTTATGAAACGGTATTTACTTAAAATAAAATAAAAACGAATAATTCATTTTTTTTTGAAAGATATGACGATGCAGTGTTTTGGGCTAAACAACTTAATGATAGTCATGAATGGAATAAATTTGCAACTGCTTTACTTTATTCATTAAATATTGATTATGGTAAAAAAAAAGCAAAAAAAGATAGAAATTTATTTTTAATTATTTGATATATTTTAGCAATAAAAGTTTTTCGAGAAATTGGTCATTCAGGTATGGTTATGGCACTTGAAGAAATAAAAGTAAAATATTTGATTATTTTTTTTTTATACCTGATAAAAATTAAATTTTTTCTTATAGCATGTAGAAGATAAAAATCTTGTTTCTGCACATTTTGCTGCTCTTTTTGGTGATTATGATCTTGCACAAGAATTTTTTCTTACATGTGGTTGTCCACTTGAAGCATAAAATGTAAAAAAAAAAAAAAGAAGTTTTCAAAGAATTTGTTTTTTTAATAAAGATAATCATATTTAGATGCGACGAGATTGTATACAATTTGAAGCAGCAATGATACTTGCAAAAGTTTATGATCCTGAACAAATACCTTATATATCAGCGGCACATGCTGAACAACTTGAATTTACGTACGAAAAAAAAACAGCTTTCAAAAATTATAAGAAAAATTTCGTTTTTATTATAGTGGAGATTCAGGTGCAGCAGTTAAATTTTATGAACAAGGTATAACTAAAAAAGAAAAGGATTTACAATATGATCAAAGATGTTTTATTGGTCTTGCTCGATGTTATATTAAAGTTGGAGATATTAAAAAGTAAAAAAAAAAAAAAAAAACATTATAAAACGTAATTTTTTTATTTTTTGTGTTATTTATAGAGGTGCTACAATTGCATTACGTTTACCTGGAAAAGAAATAAAAGAAGAATGTGCAAAATTACTTGAAGGATTGAAACAATAGCCTGAAGCTGCAGAATTATTTGAAAAAGCTGAATGTTGGGACAATGCTGCTATAGCTTATATTAAAATGAAAAATTGGTATATATTATAGTTAAAATTAGAATTTGATCAAATTCTAAATTTTTCTGAACAAAATTAGAATTGAATTAGAAGTAAATTATTTAAGTCGAAAACAGTTAGAGTTAGAATAATTTAAGAACTGTTTTTCATTTCACAAAGTATCGTTTTTATCTTCAACACATTGCGTGGAATTCAGCTGAAACTTTGTAGACATAATGAGAATGGCTAACTCTAAAACCCAACACCCTTAGAGTACGAAACTAGGTGTTTTTAATAGCGATATCATTGATCATATGGTTGATGGATCGTTTTGTTAAACCATCAGCGATGTGTTAGAGTAATCCAACGTACGGGCACATAATTTTTTGTTCAAGTCAAGCACGGGTACGAAAACTTGTACGCATACAATACTCGATTGTGAAATGAAAAGAACTCTTTAGTAATTTAAAATCTCATTGTCTTCGGCTTGATCAAATTACTTCTAAATAGACAAAACTGAAGTTCTAATTTTGCTCAAAAACAGTTTTGTCAAAAATCGAATTCTTTTTTCTTTTTGTCTGATTAAAAGTAGAATTCCAATCCAATTTGGATTCTAATATATATTTGAAATTCTCTCAAATTTTGTTCTTTTTATCTTAAAATGGAAATATTGATTTATATTTTTTTATTAAGGGTTAAAGTTAGTGAAATTCTTCGGAATGTTAATACACCAAAGATTCATTCAATGTATGCTAAAGCACGAGAAAATGAAGGAAGATTTAAAGAAGCATGTGCTGCTTATATGAGAGCAGGTGAATGAGAAAATGCTATCAGGTAAAATATATTTTTTTATGTATATAACAAACATTCTTGCATAGCAATAAATTTTTTTTTGTTTATTTCCTACGATTCAAATAACTTTATAAGATTGGACTTATCTTTCGTTTTTCAAAATTTTTTATAGTTATCAACAGAAAAGTAGATTAGTACAGGTTGCCGCAAAATCATATTTCTGTGTATTTTGTTAGTTGATTATTTCGAATTATTTTACTTCGATCGAAGTAAATTTTACTATAGTTTTGTATTCGAAAGCTAAAAACAATGCATTCAAGTAGAATGTTTAGTGTTTAAAAGAAACAATATCAAAATGAATTAAGCTAATACAATTTTGCTTCATAGACAAGTTAAATCTAACAGTTAGAAATTCTCTAGAATCACAAAATTCATGTTCGAATGATAATCATGACGAATCTAGTAGCTTTCGAGTTTTTTTTTTTCTATAAAGTTCTTCCATATATTTTATCAACACATAGAAGGAGTTACGTCGAGGAGAAGTATTTAGTTGAGAGTTAGACCAAGAGCAACACTTAGTGCGATATACCAGCTGTAGCTGAGAACTAACGATTCTGAACTATGACTCGTTTATGATACAGTGAAAATGTATTATATACTATCAATAAATAAATTTCGGTAGTCCATCTTTATTTTTATTTTTTCATTCAGAATTCAACTTAATCAATTAAAATCTCCTGAACAAGCTGTTAAAATTGTTCGTGAAACTCAAAGTATTGAAGGTGCAAAAATGGTTGCAAGATTTTTTGAATCAATTAATGATTATAGTTCTGCATCACAATTTCTTGTTTTATCAAAATGTTATAATGAAGCTTTTACTATGGCACGACAAAATGGCCTTATGGAACTCTATGCTCAAGTTATTGGTAAATAGATAATTAAACAAATAAAAAAGTTTTTGTTTTTTTGTTTTTCCTTTAGAAAAACTTCTTAAAGATGGTTGTGATATTCCATTAGATGATCTTGAAGGTGCAGCAATATTTTTTCAAAATCAAAATAATCATTTACTTGCTGGAAAATTTTTTATGTTTGCACAAAATTATGAGCGAGTATAATTTATTATTATTTTTTTTTTTATTGATAATTAACTTTTTTTTTTTTTTCGTCTAGGCATTAACACATTTAATGCGTTGTACTGGTTCAAATGAAAGTAAAGGTATTGATTTAGCTATAACATGTGTTGGAAAAGCACGTAGTCAACAATTAACACAAAGATTACTTGAATATCTACTTGGAGAAAAAGATCAAATACCAAAAGTAAAAATGAATAAAAAAGAAAATTTTTTTTTTATAAAACTTTATCAATAAACAAATTTGATTTTATTTAGGAAGCAAAATATCTTTTCCGATTTTATTTAAGTTTGGGTCAATATGTAGAAGCATCAAAAACAGCTATTATAATTGCTCAACAAGATCAAGAATCAGGAAATTATCGAAGTGCTCGTGATGTTCTTTTTACAATGCATCAAGAACTTAAAGCACAACATACAGCTATACCATTTGAAATGGCTAATAGTTTAATGTTATTACATAGTTATATTCTTGTTAAAATTCAAATTAAACTTAATAATCATGTAAATCACTTTGTTTTTTTTTTAAAGATTTTAAAATATTTATATATTATTTAGAATCGTGCAGCTCGACTTCTTAATCGTGTTGCACATAATGTTAGCAAATTTCCAGCTCGTATGTTTAAAACTCATATGGTTTAATATTTAGTTTTTTGTTTTTTTTTTCTCGAATAGATATTGTTCAAATTTTAACAACAACAGTTATTGAATGTCAAAAAGCAGGAATGAATAATTCAACATTTAATTTTTCACTTATACTTATGAGACCCGAATATCGTGAACAAATTGATCCGAAATGTAAGAAAAAAATTGAAGCACTTGTTCGGTAAGAAAATTAAATAAAGTCTTCGATATACTAGAAGATTTCCTCTAGCATTTTTTTAAATAAATTATTTTAATTCCTCTAACAGTATACCATAAATTTATTATAATCAGAGTTTGGAAGTTCTATACTTTGCTGTCTCATGAAGCTGTACTGGCAAAATAATTTCTACAGTTTATTGAATTTTTTTAATATTAATATTCATAATAATATCTACATTCAATATGGACAATATTTTGCTTCCGTCATCATAGCAACGTATCAATTCCGAGTTAGAAAACTTTTGAAAAACAGCTAATAGGAGAGAGCAATCTATTGAAAACATACTATGGAGTTACTTCAATACTCTTTTGCAGCATAATCTGAAAAAAAAAGTTCTTTAAATTTTCGATACGAAAAAATCTTTCGCATGGTCATAGGATCTAATCGGCGCAGTACACGTGAACAGACCTTTCTAAATCAGGACCATATTCGGTAAAATCTCGTTGTATATTAATTAAAAAGCCTCGTCGCTTTTGCACTTTCTACTAGAAATTTAGAAACGTTTTTATCACATTCATAATTGAAGAAAACATATCTTTAGTGTCGAAAGCTTTAAAATTAACCAAAAAAGAAAAAAAAAATTTTTCTGTAATTTAGAAAACCAGATAAAAGTGAAAGTGAAGAAGATTTTTCTCAGTGTCTACATTGTCATCAACGTGTACCTGATTATGAATTATTATGTCCAAGTTGTCAACTTGCATTACCTTATTGTATTGTTACTGTACGACGTTTTCTTTTTTTCTTTTTAATGAAATTTAAAATTTTATTCTTTTTTTTTGAATTTAGGGAGTTCATGTTATTCGAGAAGATTTATGTTTATGTCCATCATGTAATTTTCCGGCAATTTATTCAGAATTTTTAAAGTCAATAGAAGCTTGTTAGATTTTATTTTTGTTTGTATTTTTTTTTTTAAAGATATCTGAGTACAGATGATATATGTCCAATGTGTACAACAAAAATTGATGCATCACGTATTATGAAACTTGATAGTGGAGCAGCCGTAGATAGTTTTCTTACACAATCATCGGATATGTCTTGATTGAAATATTCATTATTTTTTATTCCGAAAGTACTTTATATATGTTGTGTATATCATGTTTGTTATATGAATATTAAATAAACTTTTGGGGTATTGAACACAATTTTTAGAAATTGAAATCTTTTTTTTTTGACAAATTTTAAAAAGTGATGAATGAAAGCAAAATTACAGAAGGATTTCTTTAGTAGTCAATTTATTTTTGATTAGCAAAAGAAAAACTCTTCTTAAGTTATTAAGAGAAATAATTTTTCCTTAAAGGTAGGCAATTCACTTTTCTCGCTATATCCTCCAATAATACTTTCTTTAATTAATGCGGTGCGAAGCACAGCATTTATGTAGTCCTTCGCGAGTTTTCTTTTTTAATGCCGTACGAAGCACAGCATTTATTTAGTCCTTCGCGAGTTTTCTTTTTTAATGCCGTACGAAGCACAGCATTTCTTACAATCTATCATATCATAGAATTGTCTACATTAATATGTTGTGTAGATCATTTCTCAGGAAACAACTTCTTCACCAATATTCTCTCAACAACTTATTTCACCAGAGAAAAAACATCAAAACGATGAACACAAACAATTAGTTCAATGAAATTCTTTTAATAATCAATAAAAAACAACAAAAAACAACAAAAGAACATAATGAAGATCTTAGCAAAAAAAATGTTAATAAAATTTGAAATTGTCCACAAGCAATAACAGCCACTCTAAAAATACAAAAGAATAGATTGAATTTTATGGAAATCTAAGAAAACATACCAAGATCTTGTTAAGGATCAACTTTATGATAATGTCGTTCTTCAAGTTCATCACCTTCCATTGAAGTGTACATTATGCCGCTATCGCCACTTTTTTTTGGACGACCATCACGACCACTTTCGACTAATATTTTTTGAATTAAATTTTGAAGTTTTTCAATTAATTTGTCATTAATTTCATTAATGATAGATGGATCTTCGTTGGATCTATATATCCATTTACCATAAAGTTTGCCACTTGTTGCATCAGAGTGATAAAAACAACGATTATGTGTTTTATTTAATGCAGCAATATAATAAGAACATGGTAAACAAGGCATTTTCGAAATGCCTATCTCAACTTGATTGGAATGATCTTGCTGTTTGCTATTGTTATTTAATATATAATCGATAAGTAAAATTTCGGCATGTAAATGACCAACATAAACAGGTTTTTCGTCAATTTCTTTTAATTTTGCCAAGTATTGATTATAAAAAGAATCACTTGTAGTGTTTTGAAGAATATTCGAGATAATTTCATTTGATGAATGAAGTAGATTTTTGAAGATGTTTTCAAATGCTTCTCGTGGAGTAATATTTAATTGATGTGTTTGTTGAATTGGTGGAACGAGTTTCCATGAGATATTTTTAAATATTTGACCAAACCGTTGTTTATTATTAAGTAAACATTTTAAAAGAACATTTTCTGCCCGTATATGAGCCGATGTCTTTTCGAAATAATAAACACCTTTATCAGCTGTTCCTATCGAATGATTAAGTATAAATTGAAATAAACGTGATTGATAAAGTATCATTGCAAGTCGTGCTGCTAACATGAGCTGATGCTCAGATGGATTGACTTGATTTCCAAATAGTTGATCACGAACTGTTAAGAATTCATCGACTTTTTTCAATAAAAAATCCATATAATCCTCTTCGGTGTAATTTTTGAATATTAAATAGACTTTTTCGGTCATTAATGGATTATCTGTGTAATAGTTTTTATTTGAACGAAGTTCTTCAACAAAATGGCGTTTTTCATCTGTATCCCATTTAACCATTTCTTTTAATCCATCAATGACTGTAGAATGTCGACCAATAAAATACTTCATCATTTTCTTCGAATTATATGCACATACAAGAGAATACAATTGATCTTCAGCTTCTTGTATTGCTTTGTCTTTGAATGAACATAAACTAGCTAAACTGGCATAAATTCGAATTTGACGAAAAAACCGATCGAAATATTGTTCATCATTTATTGTGATGGGTTCATTTCGAGCAATAAATACAATTTTATCAGATAGATTAACATAAACAGCTGTACATGTTGTACTTCCATTTAAAACAAGAGCAAGACTAGAAAGAAATCTTGATTGGTCTGTCACACCTAATACTCGTATTTTGTCTTGAGACAAAAGTAAACCCCAAGATAAACGTTCATAAAGAAGAAGATGACTAAGAATAGATTCATTCATTTCAAATCTAGAAAAGATTTCAATGTCTAATTTGAAGATGAAGATTACAATTGAAAAAAATTTTCACACTACCTTCAGAAATATATATATATCAAGATTGATCCAAAATAAATTTAATTTAAACAGAAATGTTTGATTCGAGAAAAAGAATCGATCAGCAGTATGTTTTCCTTAACAAATAAAAGAAAAAAACAACGTTTATTAATAGAAATCGACAACAGAGTACATTTAGATATTTGGTTTCAATTTATAAAGTACTTGTTAGTACATTTTTTCTAAATGAGAAAGTATCTCAAAGTACAATGACAAACGATTTATTCAAAAAAAAAAAGAAACCAAGCTACTTCTATTCGCAGCTTTTAATAGAAAATATGTTCCCCTACGACAAAAACAAAATAAAAATAAAAAAAAAATCAAATTACAGATAATTACAAAAATATACACAAGATTCATTTGACAAAATTTAAATGTTATTACTCTAAATTGTTTTTTTTCACTATCAATGTGTAGAATAAATAAAAACAAATATCCAATAAGAATAAGAATACATACCTAATATTCAACAAGAATAAACGAAGAAAGTGTATATAAAAAGAAACAAAATACGAAATCTGAAAAGAGAAATAGAAATTTCAAATATGAATTTGATAAGGCCTAAAATAGACTACTCTCATGAAGTCGGAACGTGCAACCTCTACGTGGTATGAGAGAGAAACTTAAAGATATCTTTAAGGCTAATGCGCGTACGCAGAAACTATCTGGCAGCAGCGATAGTGGATCGCAACGAAGTACTCGGACTGCGCTGAAGAAGGAAATGGTAAACCACTTCAGTTTTCTTACCAAGAAAATACAATGAACAGACAATCAACGATGTTTCAATTTATGGTGCTGGAAGATGAGACCCCCAAGTCGGAAGGCACCGAAAAGATGACTGGGGAAGAGCCAAGGTCGAGTACAATTAGTACTGTAAATAATGACGCTATTGAATCAAAGCCGAAAGGAAGCTCAATCGCTGAGCACTACAGATACAAGCGGAAAGACCAAAGCTTTTTTAAAACACATAAAATTGGTACATGGAATGTAGGAAGTATGAATCAAGGCAAGCTCGAAATAGTCAAATCAGAAATGGACCGAATCAAAATAGACATTCTTGGAATAAGCGAACTCAAATGGACAGGAACTGATCATTTCACATCAGGCAGCTACGAAGTTTATTATTCTGGCAGCCAGAATACCAGAAAAAATGGAGTGGCCATGGTATTAAACAAGAAACTCGTTAATTCAGTAATCGGATATTATCCAAAACATGATAGAATGATTTCTATTCGACTTCAAGGAAAACCAACGAACTTAACAATAATACAGATCTACGCACCAACTACAGAAGCAGAAGAATCAACAATCGATGATTTCTACATGGATTTACAACAAATACTCGACGACGTTCCAAA